TATGCTGACTCATATTATTTAAATATTCCGATTTGCTGTGGTAAAGTGTACAGTGAGAGGGAGGAGAACCATGTTTTAGTGCTATGAACTGATGAAATCTCTCCATTTTATCCAAATACAGTACAGCTGATCTAATCAAGCTTTGGTTCCTATGGGCTGGTGTCCTTCATTCCTATCATACCCAGTGCCAGATACTCAGATTCACAGCATATTTGTAGAACAGACCCATAGGGCAAGAGGCAGATGGTGTGTGCTGTGGCTGGTCCAGAGCTGTGCAAATGCTGGTTGTGTCCCCGCTGTCGAGAAGACTGCATGACCGCTGACTTGAGCCTGCTTCTGCCTTCTGTGAGGCTAGGAATACAGGCGTGTCTATTTAGCTGTAAATTTTCATGTAGACTCAGGGAAATTAACTTCTGATACTTACCTCTTTTTAGAATGATTAATTCAGAATTGGCTAGTAAAGTTAAATATTCAACAGCATGATTAAATCAAAATAGCTCCTCGTGTGGTTGGTGGTTCTTTGGGGGGGGGGTAGGAGTTGTTGTGGAGCTTTTTTGTTTTGAAAATTGGGGTAAAAATGTAATATTGAGATCATGCATCCATAGCATTAAAAACTGAATGAATAAAATAATAAAGAACTTGGGTTCATTTGAATGTCTCTTTTCTTTTCCTTTTTTTAGCTTTTAATTTAAATCATTTGCACTTTAAAATTGTGGTCTCACAGTCCTACTGTATTTCATGGAAATGCAACTTTTAAAATTACTGAAACAAAGTAATTCTTGTTATTGTTATGGTCTGAACAAATTTTGTTTTCTTTGATGAAAGTTTACTGTTGCAATCTTGTACAATGTATCTACCCATTCACAAATCATATACCTTTCATCATAAACTTCTTTAAATTCATTAGTTTTCAGCCTCTATAAAGTGTTCAGAAAAGTAGAGGAATTGGTATATTAAAATTTTCTAGATGTAAACCTTGGAGAAGTTTTGATGTGGTTTTAGGGATAGTAGGAGCTTATGGAAGAAAGAAAATTACTATAACCTTTCATAGCTTCTTTTTAATGAAGTCAGATGACTTTTGCCATCTATTCAATAATTTGTGCATTGTATTGATTATTTATCCCCAGCAAATTGACTGTCGTGTGGTGGTTCAATGGTGTTCTTTAAATAGAGTGAGAGAGTGCACAACATGCAGTACATGACTCAGTGTTTCTTCCTATGACTATCATCTAGAAAACAAACATATTTTGAACTTTCTCAGGAAGCAATATTTTCCCCTGCCTCACTTTTTTTTTTTAATTTTTTCCAAAAAGAACTATTTGTGTTGCTAGTTTCATGACTGCTAACTGTCATGACTACAGATACTGTGGCACTACAGATGATGGTGAAATGGGAATGCTCAAGCTCACCGATTTAGCAAGGAGCCCGAGAATGGAAATACATCAAAATTTTCCTATGCTGCCAAAGCAGCCTTTCCAGCATCAGCAGCAGGCGCTGAGCATTCATACATCTTTTAGTTCATCCACGTTGCCGGTGTCCTCCAAACACAGAGGAAAATTTATAAACCTACGTGACAGTGTAAAAAAGAGTCCTACAAAAAGCACAGCAAAAGTAAAAGCTGCTAGTGGTTGGGTGTCTGATGGCTCGTGTTCTAATTGTTCTTTAGAAAAGGTATGTATTGTGCTAGGTATTTATAAATGTGTATTTTTGGTGCAAACTGTATAAAGTATGTCACTTTTTCTTTCTGTAGTTTTATCCCTGCTATTTCTAGAGACTTAATGTTATTTAATTTTCTTTTGTATTTTAATCGCTAGAAATCAAAGTAGTAGTAATTGAAATTGGTCTGGTAAAGAAATACTTCTGTTCGGTGTTTTCTTAAGATTGTTGCACTGTATACAGTGTGGGGTTTTTATAGTAATTTCTTGAAAATGAGGAAAGTCTGGTTTGCTTGATTTTTGTTCTCCAAAATATGTCTTTTAGTACTTGACAAATAGCAGCATTATGGAATTTGCTGATTTAGTTGACCTGCTTTGGAATGTGTATGGTGCTATGATAATTTCAGGTTAGTCAGTATTTCCTCACAGAAGAGAGTTATTTGTGATGAGAAAATGGGTGTATTCTTCCTTTTCACAACATCTAGACTTAGTGTTACATTTGGAGGCACTCCTTTTAATTGATCACTAAAAGATATTATTATCTTAGCTTTTTTAAACATATCACTTAAATCATCATTTTTTGTTTATAAATATTAGAAATACCATCCTTACACTTTAAAAAAGAATTACTTGAGATTTATTGTCCTGTTGTAACAGAATGGCTTTTCATTGTAGGTGTTAGCACATTTATTTAGGCTGACAGACTCTGTTAAAGTGAGTTATTGTTCAAGTCATGCATTCCTATAGATAAGTGTATCATACTTGTGTGCTATAGTTCATATATATTCAAAACAAGGGTTTTAACTGGCCTGTTGCTTTCTTTGTAGTTTAAGTAAATTGATGTCCATGTAAACCAGAATTATTAAATGTAGTCAGAGATACCTTTATTTGAAACTATTTTGAGGACAAGCTTTTGTTTTTCAGAATACTTTAGCATCTTAATTTGGAATATTCCTAAAAATTACAAATGTTTCTTGAAGATTCCTGGGAAGCAGAGTAGTGAAAGCGATACCCTGAGCTGATCTCACAGATGCCTGTACCATATAATAATTTCCAGACTGATTACATGCCATACTAAAATAAAATCAGCATTCTTCTATTATAATGATGTTCCAGGTTGTCTTGCTCTGGTTAGAAATCTTTAATTTCTTGTATTGTTCTTGCCTGTGGTAGCCTTAGTGCCCACATCAATGCTGTATTCCATGAAATGCTTAAGTGAAGACAGTTGTGCCTTCATTTGGATTTGCACATCCTTTGAAAGTGGTTGCCAGTGGCGTCATCTCTTTCCTGGCCCACCTGGTAGTGGAGGAGACCCAAAAGGAACATTGCCAGGAGGCTTGGAGGAGCAGGGAACAACTTTTAAGAGTCAGTGGATACTAAACCAACAGCACAAGGGGAAAATGCAATGACAATACTAATAGCTTATGAGACTGGAACCTGAAAGAATAAAAGGACTTTGAACAATGTCAGGTTTAAAACAATAAGGATAAAAATTGCAACAGGTTGGAAGAGTTCTTGAAGCATTTGGGAACAAGAAGCCCAGAGGGAGATGGGAGTTAAGAATTGAGAAAAGGAAGGAAGCAGGAAAAGCAAGCTGCCGTTTGGTGCGGGGAGAGGGGTGCGGATTGTTTGGCCCATAAGGAAATTAACTATGATTGTGTCAGTTATTTTGCTAAGTCAAAGGGCAAAGGAGTGTGGTCAGTATCTAAGAGTAACTTTGATTTGGTTTTAACCTTTTATTGCAGGTGTTGTAACTGTAAAGCTGGAATTTTTCTGAGCTGTGAGCAGGTAGCTTGTCAGCCTTAATGTTGTGTTATATTTGATATGTAATATGTGTATATCTGAAACTTTGGTTAACAGAATTTTTTACTGTGTGCACACATGGGAAGCTGCTTACTTTGGAACAGGGCAGACTTGAAGGGGTGGCTTATTTTTTTTGCGTATATAGGGCTGAGTGATCGCTCAAGCAATTTAATTTGACCTGTCCTCTAAAGGTTGCATTGTTCTTCCAGTAACTGGAGGTTTGTTGCACTGAGCGTTTCCTGCATCTTTTGCAAAACGTGTATAATCATTTTCTAGACCAATTCTCCCCCACCCTCCCTTTTTAACAGTTGAAAGATTGTGCTGTTTCTACAGAGGTGAGGGTGTTTAAATAACAGTAGTAATAATCTTTCAAGATATCAAATATATCTTGTTCTTACATCTTTCAATAACTTGAACATTTTTTCACCAGCTGTTCATTTTGGGTAGATTGAGCTGAAAAAACCCTGTAGGAATAGCATATGTACATTTAATAGGGGTTCCTACTCTAGGGCTGTTTCAGGGTTTTTTTTAATATTTGCTTTTACCACTTAATTTGGTGTATGCTCTTGGTCTATGTTGCTTTGTGTTTTAAAGGATCTCAAACATTTAAAATATGGTTAATATTTTAATGTTCTGGGTTTTGGGTTCACTTTCAGGATTTAGTGTTTTCTTTTGCCATTATGCTTCATTATACTAAAAGATCACAAGAATGTCTTGGAACAACTATGTTGCAAGAGCTTTGATCTGCTGTTCAGCTTGTAATTTTGATGATAGTTGCTAGTAGTTTATGTTCCTGACAACTTGTTGACAACTAGTGTATGTTAACATCTCAAAATTATTTGAGTCAATGTTTTGCTCAAAATGCTATTTGTAATCTTGTTCTCTTGCAGCGTAAGTGTCAGTAGTTTTCCTGGTTAGTGTTTTAATGAAAATTCGTAAGACCAAAATTCTTCTAAGTTGGAAGGTTTATGGTAAGCCTGTATGAGGATCTTTGAGAGGTAGATCGAATCTGTTGAGGATCATTCCGCCCATTTGACTAAAAGATTTTCTTTGATTTTTTTTTTTTTTTGGCTGGTTTCGAAACCTTAATGTACTTCTGATTTTTTTCCACTTTACCAAAAAAGACTATTAACTTTTTTCAGTGCTACCAATTTTAGCCACTGTTTCCCTGCTTTTGCCCGCTGTTGTATAATGGTGAAGGGCTTCTGTTGTGAAACCAGCCCACAAAAAGCCTGAGTCCGTCCACTGATGTGAACAGGTTTTCTGTTGGACCCCAAAGCCTTGTTACTCTACTGGAAGGTGAGTAACTTGGTATGAATAAGCAATGAGAGTCACTACTTCAGGTTCTCTGACATCAGCACGTTGCTAGGGATATACTGCCGGATACAGCATGGTTAAAGATGGTTGTCTTCAGTGGTGGTTATGGTCTCCAAATCCATAGGCTATTTCAGAATTTTTTTAAGCTGTTAGATTTGAATCTTGTTTGTTTTAAAATGCTTTTCTAGTTTTCATTATTTTTGACATTTTGTTGGTGATTTTTAGCCCACAGAAGCTGTTCCTTCCTCTTCTCCCATTGTCCCTGTGATCCCTGTCCCACCAGTCCCTGCTGAGACCACTGTCATCCCATCCACCATACCACAGGTTTTTATTCCTCTTTTTTTTAAATTTGTTCAACTTTTATTTATTCAATTTATTTCATTGTTTTGCTTAAATTCATGTTTTGGTACACTAAAGTTTCATTCTAATTTTTGTTTGTTTTATAGTAGCTCTTAGTCCATTTAAAACATGTATATTTTCATATGGAAGTGTATTAGTAAATTGTGAAATAACTAAAGAAAAAAACCTGAAAGAATGGAAAGAAGCAAGAGGATATTTTGTGTTCTCACTTAATAATTTTAGAGCTATTTAACCCTTACTAAAGTGTTATTGCTTTATTTATAGACAACTGTCTTGTCTCATATACAAATACTTAATAAATGTCTTTGATCGATTGCACTTGCATGACGTTTCTTCTGTTCTCCAGCCATTTGTTGGTATTAGTGTATTTAGGGGCATTTAGAACATAAAAGGTTTTAGTTTTTTTGGTTTGATTTTTTTATCTCTCTATTCTTAACATATTTGACTCATAGATTGTGCTTCTCTTCTGGATCTTCATCCTTTAGGTCACATAATGCTAATACACAAAACCCAACCCATCAAGACAAGTGAAAGCAGTAAACATGAGTTAACATTAATATCTTGCATGTAACTTGAAATTTGTGACCACAGCATGGCAAGCTATGGAATAATTTATAATAGGTAGCAGGTTGGGGGGGTTTTTTGCACGTAGAATTACATTCTGCTTTTATTTTTTGTAACTTTCACTGCAAAATCTCAAAAGATGGGTGCATGCCTTCTGAAAAGATGGGTCACTTTGTGGAATCATTTGGTGTCAGATATTTATTAACTTTAAAAGGGAATTAATCTATCCAGAATATTACTGGGATATTTTTCTAGTATACACATCAGTATTTTTTTCTTAATGTCAGCTTTCATGCTATGTGGCTAAACTCGCAACAAGTGGTAATCTTTTTTAATCTCTGCTACATTGCTAAATTTTACATGATCCAGTAATTATCAACCGTTCTTACAGTTGGCTGTTTTATAGTGCAATTTCTAGTGGATGTGTATTTACACAATCCGTCACCTGTACTTTTCCCAACAGGCAGTCCAGAGATCTGATTAGTTTCAGAACTATTTCCTCTTTATAGAGGGAGTCTGCCCACATCAGGACTTGAGGCAGAGTAGTGCAACCAGTGGACTTTTCTGTCAGCCTTGATGGATAAAGATAACTGAGTCTCCAGTAGCATTTACTTTCCAGGAATTGCCAGTAGGCTAAACTTAATTGAAAATAAAATAATTAGTGCTATATGTATTTATATTTTCTTTGACTGCTGTTGCTGTGGTAGTGTTAATGTCCATTGACGATGCTGAATTACAAGCAGAAGAGTAAGAATTGAGTGGTCTGTGCCTCTGACTTCTGAGCGCATATCAATGTCTGCAGGAGTTAGTGATACAATTCTGCATCATATGTGATTCCAAGCAGTTAGAAAATACCACAGAAAGTTATAATCAACTTTGGATTTGGCAGATGCATTTTTGTGCAATAGATACATCTTTCTGTTTTGTTAGTCACTTTACCCCTAAGGCAAACCCTTAGTCTGCTTGTAAACGAACTTGTCAAATGGTTTTTAAATATTTGAACAAGCCCTGGCGCAGAAGCTTGAAAGTGTTAGGTAATTTGGAGAGCTCTTGCATAACAGCCCAAAATAACAGATCTTCCTTCCAAAAACATTTGATATGTTGAGTTGGATGTTGGCCCTGTGTCTTTGCAGTGTCCAGGCATACCTTTGGAATGCCTGGCACAAAGCTTTTCTCCTTCCCACTTGGAAATGATGGTAAATTATTGCTTCTTGATGGAGAATTCAGATAAATGCAGGAGTGTTAGGAGCAATCACTTAACTAATGGAGGCTGTTTTGCATCGGTTGGCTAGTTTGCGTTGCAAATGTACTGTTCACATAGGAACCTTACCTACTAATAGCAATTTGCTTTTAGCTAGTCTTCCTCTTCTTTTTGTAAGACATTAAAGAACACTTATCAGCCTCAAGAAAAGGATTAATGGGAAACCAGCTTTACTGGCACTGGTTTTGTTGAATATACTTGGATATTACAGAATCCTAACATTAAATAAAAATAAATTCCAAAATTGACTGAAATGCAAAGAACATGACTGAACTTTCAAAATTAATCCTTGTTCTGTTTCCTATTTATAAATTAAAAAATCTTTTCATAGTTGCTACACAAGTATAAAATAAATGTATGTATATTGTTCTTTTGTAGATCTAGTGAGAATTAAACTTCTAATGCCTCACATTCAGCCAGGTTCTTTTTAATACAATGTTTTGTTAAAATCATGTTAATTGTATAGCTCTTACAGGGATGGTGATGCATAATTTAATTGACTGGTATTTTTAATACAGGGTCTTATTTTTAAATCTTATGTTAAAAGAACTTGCACTTGAATAAGCAGAAATTGGAATGGAAGTTAATGGCAGAAAATGGTTGTGGGGGATAGCGTTGTTCTGACAGATATTTTTATTGTGATACTAGTATTTGATTTCTGCACTGTGTAAAGCTTGCCTAGGCTTCTACTGAGACAATTGCTCGGTGAGAAAGGTGCTTCCTGGCATCTTGACAGTCAGAAGTGTCATCCTTTTTGTTTCCCTTTTTCAATAGTCTATTCTGTTAACTTGCATCGATACCACCTGATTTTAGTACTTTTTAAATGATACAGGCCTAATTTCTGACACAGCAACCTGATACCAAATTGATGACTCCTGTCTAGTGATGGTAGATTATTCATCTCAGTTTTTTGTAAGGAACTTCTGAGTCATCGCTTACTCCTAGCTTTTGGGAGCTTTGAAGTCATGAATTCTTCGGAAGTATGTTGTTGTCGTGGCAATTAAACTAAAATGCAGAATATGAATAGGTTAATGTAATTGCCATGTTTTTGTAGGTCTTAAGTTTATCTTTGAATGAGTTTAATACTAGCTTCTATTGCAGCCTGTTAAACTGTCCCTAAATTTATTTCCACGCACACGTAAGAGATTTAAAAAAAAAAATTCTTAATTTTAAATATAATGGATTTTCATACCTATTTAAAAAAAATCTGATCTTCATTAAAGCAGTAAGGAGATTAACATTGCTTTATGCCACTGAGTTTGCAGTTCCCACTGAACTTAATACATCAACAGTATTTGGAGTCAGGAATACATCTGCACACGTTTTTTTGTTGTTCTTAAAGCAGGCTAGATGCTACCTATTTTAAAGGCAGATAATTGATGCAAAAATAGGAAACCTGTTTATTTGGAAGCGTTTCAGATAAATGCCACCAGTCTGTATGAATTTTCTTTCAGTTAAACCCACATTTTTCACAGAAAAATTCTCAGTAACATCAGAGAGTAGAAGTGGTAGCTTATTCTATCAGTTCCTGGCCAGGAAGAATGCTATCCTAATTTATATTTCTGTAGCAGTAATCTCTGACTGCTTATGGCTTTTTTTTGTGAATCTATAACAATTTTGTGATGGAAGTACATGCTGCTGTGCAGTAGATGAATGTCTGCTGTAGATTTGCTTTCACCGGTGAGTTTTGTATATTCTTCATAAGTTTGCTTTTCTCTAAGTTTCCATTTTGCAAATTGAAGGGGGGGAAGGAAGTCTTCCTGCTAGGAAGAAAGAGGAATCAAATCCACCAAAATTTGTTTTTAAGTTATTGGCTGGTAAAGCAATGTCTGAATGTCATACCACAAGTACTAGGGTAACTGATGTGATGTCGAATGATAGCATGACTCAGTTTTTCTTTTGAAAAACAAGGTAATAAATGACAGAACTTGTATATAAAACACGAGCTCAAAGTTTTGGAAGAGTGTGATTTCGTGGAATGAAAACAATTTGTTCAGGGTAGAAACAAGTGTTTCAGAAGGTGAATTTTTGAGATTCTAAAGCTGAGGCTACCTTTTAACAGAACTTTGAGAAATACAGCAAATTAAATGTTGTATAATTATCACTAGTATTGCTTTCTCTTATGCTGTGTAATTTATTTTTTGTTAAAGGCAAATCCTCCTCCAGTGCTGGTGAATACAGATTCTTTGGAGACTCCAACATATGTAAGCCTACACTTGCTTTCAATTATAACATTAGATAATGTTTTATGTATGTAGTTGTTTAAGTCTGTTACTGTTTAATAAAACCTCTTTTACCTCTCTGGTGCTTGATTTTGTCAGCTGTCCTGATGGTTACTTGAAGTGCTTAAATAACTGTTTCATGAAGGGGGGGAAAAAAAAAGTAGATTGCAGGTGGAAGCTTCTGTGTGAGTACCACCGTGTGACAGTGAAAAACATGGTTGGTTGAGGTTGCAGAGGTTCAGTGTTCAGAGAACAATCTGTTTCCTCAACTGTGCAGGCAGATGCTTTAGTATTTATTGTGCCACTATTACTGCACTTCTCATAAAAACACTTCGTAATGCAGTGGCTGTACTTAAGATGTTAGTGCTCCAAAAGTTCATAAAAACGTGTTTGTTCTGTTTGAAACATTAAGGTAATAAGTGTAGTTATGTGGAGGCTAAAATTTGTGTTTGTTAGTGTGGTTTTTGAGAGAGGAATACCACTGGCAAATAGAGGCATCAGAGGCTTTGGCATGTAAGTTAGTCTGGCATAGGTTTCAGGGCTGAGTTTTCCTCCTGCATCTTCCTCCTACAGTTACTTAAATCCCACTTGCTTGTTGTTTTCCTGAGCAGTGTTAATGTCTGTACTAGTTGCTTTATGTTATGTTTATTCTAAGTGCTGGTATTACCAAGCAAAGAGTAAATCTTGTCCTTGTCAAAAGCATTTGTAACTTAACAACATTCTAGAAAGAAGCTGTGATAGCTCAATGCAGACAAAAGTGTGACTTAAGTTTAAGCAGAAGACAAAAGATTAGTGTAGTGACATAATTGAGTCCTGAATGAAATAATGATGAATCCGACTAAAAGATCACAGCAGTAGCATGCAGTGTGTGTGGCCATTCTCATAGAATCACAAACTGGTTTGGATTGGAAGGGATCTCAAAGATCATCCAGTTCCAACCCCCCTGCCATGGGCTGGGACACCCTTCACTAGACCAGGTTGCTCAAAGCCCCATCCAACCTGGCCTTGAACACTTCTTTTATTGATTTGATGCAGATACAGTTTAGAAAAGCATACCGAAGGTGGGGTGTCTTTGTGCACACACCAAGAAGAAAAGTGATTAATAAATACACATTCATGTTTCAGAAAGGTCCCATCTGATAGAGGCAGATGGAGGACAGTAGGTAGTAGAAACAGGAAGGGAAAATAGCATTAACAGAACAAATTGGTGCTCAAAATTTTTAAGCTAAATTACCGGTTTGTGGTGAATGTGAAACAAACAAGCCCAAAACTATCTGTAATCTAATGTACTCCTTAAGCATAGGAGGTTGAGTAAAGGAATATGCTTCTAGGTTCCGAAGTAGCTAATAGAATTGTTAAGTAATGTAAAATCATACTGGTGAAGTAACAGCATCATGAATCTACAAAAATGTTACCTATTAAAGCTTTTTCTGTTGAAAGAAGAAAAAAGCAAAGAACAAAGCTCAAGTTGGTGGCACATGAAAAGATTAACTGTACCAACAAAATGAACTTCAGCACAGCCAAAAGGCTCTTAACTAAATTCTGCTGAACTACTAATGGATTTTCACATTCAAAGAAGATTGCTGTGGCATAATTACAGCATTTGTACAGAACTTCCTTCATCCAGGGGAAGTCCCTGCAAATAAAGCTTGGCTTAGTGGGTCTGAGATTACTTCAAAACTTGCAAAAGGTAGAATAGGACAGTGATTTTTATCATTTCACTTATCCTTGCTCCTGTCTCTGCTAATGTTTGGTTTGTTAGATAAAATCAATGCAAAGGTAAATTAAAAAAAGGGGGAGGGCACTATGGAATTAAGCTAAAAAAAAAGATAAAAAACATGGTGATTCTTTTTTGCTCCTGTTTATCTAGATGATATTTTTAAAGTGGTTTTGTACATGGAAATAAACAAGAGATTGCTTAAGTATATTAGCATTGACTTTGCCTAATGGGAATAGGGGAATGATTCTTGTGCTGGTTATTTAAAAAAAAACCAGAAAACCAAAACAAAACACAGACTGATCAGTCACCATGAACCATTTCCCAGGTACTGTAATACTAGATGACTGGTTCAGTTAGCACATGTTGTCATTCTTGTAGATAATAGCTCAAGGTCTAAGCTAACATAAAAACTTCTTGATCACAGTGGCTTCTATTGTGTTAGTGTAGTAATAGATACAGTGTCATGTATTCAGAAGGTCAAGAGCTCTTCCCTTTTTAATGGAGAAATATCATGTGTTAAAACCACAGTATCTTTTCCACTGAGCAAACTACTAAGGACGTATCATTTTTGAGGTACTGTGCAATGAAGAAGATAATAATCTGTTCTGTCTGGAATGGACATGGCTTCTATTGTATTAAGGGGAAATATAATTAGAGATTGAGGAAAAACTGTAATGAGGGATAAATGAGCTTGATATTAGACACCCTGTGAAAGTTGTGGCATCTTCAGCTTTTGGAGCTTTTAAATATGTTAAATAAACATATGACGAATGATGTAGATGTGATCTTAATTTTGTTTGGGGTGAATTAAAGTCCCTTTTTTTAATTCTCTGCTAGAAAACTGTACAGATTTTAAAATACTTTCTTCTATACATATATATTTGTGTCTTTATAAAATGTTGAATAGTATGTTAAGAGTATAGAACATTACCAGAAATAGAATATATCAAGAATAGACAAGGTGCTTTGTAAAATAATAGTATAAATGCTATTTCTTGTTAAATGTTTCATCCTAAAAGGCTTGAAATAGGGAATTGCCTGTAGCTGCATGTTGTAGGTATCTGTGAAAGAAAGAATTTGAGTTACAAGATATCTTAGTAATTGGGGGGGGGGGGAAATCTCAAATGTTACTTTGATATTAAATATGGTTAAGAATTTGATATTTAATAGTTTTCACTTAGTTTAGATATTTGTTACTTTCGTTATTTGATTCTGTCCTAGTTCTGTAGACAGCAAAGAATGTGGGTATCCTTTCTAACTTAAGAATGACAAGGCTAGTTCTAGTATTTGGGTTTTTGCATCTAGCTTTATAAAACTTTCTTCTAAACTCTTCTTCTGGTTTTGGTTCTGTTTTAATTTGTTGATCTTTAGCATGTATGTAACACGATAAGTAGTAATATAAACCGTTGTTAAATGTTGCTTTAGAAGGGTCTTACGCATTTCTAGTGAGAAATGGTATGAAGCATCAGTTTTTGATTTGTCCTGCCCCACGAGGAACAACAGTTTGAAAATACTGCTCTATTCTTCTATGCAATTTCTTCTCTACCCCACACCACCTTCTTTTTTTTTAGTTCCAACTTGCTGTACGGCCTCCAAGGACTGTGTAGAACAGTCTGCTCTCTGAAACTTTAACTTTTAAACTCATACAAAAAGAGTGTCTGATTCACATACAGAGCAGCATGAAAATCACACGTCCCCTCTAAGCTCAGTGATCAGTGTGAATCAGCTGAGATTTGATGGGCATGAACCTCCAGCCAAGCAAACTGTGTCGTGTAAAGTATAAAATCCTCTAAGTCTCACTTTGCTTTCTTTATAGGTCAATGGCACGGATGCAGATTATGAGTATGAAGAAATTACTCTTGAAAGGGTAACATGATCGATGTCTTTCTGTACTCTGTTTTAGATGGGATTTATGAAACTTTCTTGATACTGCTAAATGGCAATCCAAAACAATTCTTAGGTAGATTATATAATCTAAAGAAAAAAATACACCCGGTTTCTGGAGCAGGAATAGAAGTTTTTATTAATATCCTTGACCACTAGGAGTAAAATGGGGGAAGGATCTCCCTGAGACATACTGCATTTAATGTTATTATCTAGGCTTGTAGAAAGTAGTAACACAAATTATGATTTCATTTCCTATATTGCCAATTATGATAGACTCTTATTTACACCATTAAGTTTTATATTGAGAATCAGGCTTCCTGTTGAGAATACAAGTGTGGCACCTTGTCGTACGCATTGCTTTGTTAGGTTTGCGATGTAGAGATCCGTCTCGGTTCTCTTTTCTTGAGCTGCACTGTTAACAAAAAGAAAGCAAGAGATGGTTATATTTGATACCTGTGCAGTTCTTGGTGGTTACTGAGAGGGTGAAGAGGTCTTTCAGTTGATAGTAAGGGCAGGCAGCCTTTGAAGAGAAAATGTCAGTCTGAGTCTCTGCATCTGTGAGGATATATTACCTCTGTGACACAAATTACTTGGGGGCTTCTCTGGGAAAAATAATTTGTCACTAAATTTAATGAGGAGCAAGTATTCGTCTGAATAATCTCAAAGATTCCTGCTAGAGAGGGAAGTTTCTATCTCGTTCATGAAGCTCACATCAGTGAGAAAACTGTGGGGTTGGAACTGTATCTCTTACAGTTACACAATGACTTTATGGTCTCCTTACTTCTATGAAAATAAGTATAATTATATTTTATATAAGGTTATATGTCATACACTGCTTAAAGTATCTTTTGATATTTTTTATCAGGGAAAATGATATAGATTTGGTTCTGTATAGATATACTAGAATATCTTACCTCAAAAAAGATGTGTAATTTTTTTTCCCCTCTACCTTTAGGGAAATTCAGGACTTGGCTTTAGCATTGCGGGTGGTACAGACAACCCACATATTGGGGATGATTCAAGTATTTTCATTACAAAAATTATAGCCGGGGGCGCAGCTGCACAGGATGGAAGATTACGGTATGATGACTTTCTGTGTTGGGTTGCTAAATGTTTATTATTATATTTTCAAACAGTGGATAGAACACTTCCTGTTACTTTCAGTAGTTTTATCATGCTACATTACTTTTTAAATAAGTTTTGTCTTACAAAAGTATTTTGTAAATAATGAAAAATGTTTGAGTCGACCAATTTTATTTTTTCCCCCACCCAATAAAATCTGCGGTTAAGTGAAATTAAGTGAACTTTACCTTTCCTATTTGGTGGTATAAATTGCTTATGCCGTATGTTCTGTAGTCCTTAATTCAATATACAAAGGAAAAGCTTAGACAGGTAGGATAGGTAACTCTTGGTTATCCATGTGCATATTTTCTGATCTGTGAGATAGTTGAGCTTAACAGCAGCCCTCTTTTATGCTTGGCATAATTCTGTGTTTTAATTTTTCAAAAACGCTACTCATGTTCAAAAGCCATATTTTTTTGTTTACATTAATGGAGTACTCCTCCTCCAGTATACCGTATTTTCTTATTTAGTTGTGGACTGATACCACTACTTGACTCCTACTGAGGAAATGTTGGCATGTTACTAGATGGTAGCAAGTGATATTTGCAACTTCCTTTGAAGAGTACTGTTAGAAGTTAATAACAAATTGCATTAATTAATTATTTTCTAATCCAGAACAGTCTATAAGTATACTCCTGTATCACTGTTTGGGGAAAAAACCCACATCCGACTGTAGGACTGGCTTTTTTCTCTTGTGTTGTCAAAAACTTACCCTATCACTTTTGGCACAAATGCCTGATGCGTTACGGTTTTTAGTCCTAATAAGCTTATTTCAAAGCTTTATTTTAGCTTGTTGGCCATTGTTGGAGGTACATCTGGCAGAACATGGTGACAGGTGGGTCAGGCATTCTACTTAGTGTAATGAGAGCTTGGTGTTACTACAGCAACATGTTAAACGAAGTGGAAGGCCAGTGATTAAACAGCTTGTGAAAAGCAGGAATGGAGGTTGATTTGTTCACATCATGGCTTAAAACTAGCGTGTTCTCATTGTGTGCCTCCTAGTTTCTGAATTTTTTAATTCTTTCTTATAGCCTAAACAAAAGGTAGTTTGTACAAAGCTCTGTTCAAAATAGTGTTTAAATTAAACACGTGTAAAGATGATAGCCTCTTCAGCTGTGAACAAAATACTCCCTTTAAATGTTTTCTAATGATCCTTGGTTTATTTTTAAGCATTAATAATGAATTTTAGAGCATTGTCTTGAATCAATATAATTTTGAAGGAAAATCTGTGTATATTAATGTGTTTACACGTATGTTAGTGTATTGTCGATAAAATACGAGGCTTCTAATGCGTGCGCTCTGTATAACACAACAGCTGAACATGAATGTTGCTGTCTGTAGGGTTAATGATTGTATTCTACGAGTAAATGAGGTGGATGTTCGTGATGTGACACACAGCAAAGCAGTTGAAGCATTGAAAGAAGCGGGATCAATTGTACGATTGTATGTCAAAAGAAGAAAACCAGTTACAGAAAAAATAGTGGAAATCAAACTTGTAAAAGGCCCTAAAGGTACGTAGGAGGTATAAAGCTTCTGTTTCACAAGAAGGCTAGAGTTGACAATAGATTTTTTTGCATTTATTTTTTGAAATTAAATAGTACCTTGCATGTGAAGTTCTAGGAAATGCAGACTAATGAAAAATAAGATAAAGGCATCTCAAATGCTTCTGAATTTTTATCTGTATGTCTTGAAACTGTTCTTGTAGAATGCATTTTTTTGTTTCAAATGATAAAAATGTGTTTCTAATATTATTTAGTATTTTTAAAGTACATTACAAATGAGAGTAAAATATTTCATTGAAATGAAACCTAGAAAGGATCTTTGAGAGACTAAAAAAACCAGAGAAAGTATTATTTTATTTCTGTGTGGATAAATGTTGGACAGTGTTTCTTTAAATATCATTGGTTATGCTGTAGTGCTGCTGTGTGCATCTTTTCACAAGGCATGAAATGATTTAGCTTTTGACTTTCAGAACTTCTGTAAATGTTAAGTCTTTTCCAGAACTTTCTGGAAAATTATGTAGTTCACTTGGAAAGGCATCCAGTATTGCTTAAGCCAGAACCTAATATTTTTGTCTATGTGCGATACAAATACCATTGTTATTTATATAATAATTTGAATCTAATGAATGCGAAGAGATTTCTTGAGTAATGATGTTGTCTTCAAGCAGGTCTTGGTTTCAGTATTGCTGGTGGTGTAGGAAATCAGCATATACCTGGAGACAACAGCATCTATGTAACCAAAATCATTGAAGGCGGGGCAGCACATAAAGATGGCAAACTTCAGATCGGGGACAAACTTTTAGCCGTAAGTAGGAGCTGCATTTTTTTTTATGGTTCTTCACTTTTAGGCCCAGTAAGGGTGTGATTCACTTTGTGGTTAAGCTGTCTGCCGGTAGACTGTTATTTCATAGAAATGGGTAAAAAAATTGATATTGCCAGGAAATCAGTGATGAAAATTAACTCTGCAGTGTTCAACACATGAGGAAATCTGAAATCTGTTTAACAACACTGCTAAGCATCTCCTGTGTAACTTTTATATAACCATTTATGCCTGTGGCACATGAATCCTGGTAAAGACTCTCAATGCCAGTGTGCTCCAGCAGCTTTCAGTGAACGTCCTGTGAAAACATGCATTTCTGTGTGTTGAGAATTTGTTGGTTTTTTTTATCTTTAGGTGAACAGTGTTTGCTTAGAAGAAGTTACTCATGAAGAAGCAGTGACTGCCTTAAAGAACACATCTGACTTTGTCTATCTGAGAGTTGCAAAACCCACCAGCATGTTCATGAATGACAGTTATGCCCCTCCTGACATCACAAACTGTAAGTTCAGCTTATCTTTGAAATTTATTTTTTTTTCCCTTTAAGGCTTTAACATACCCCATTTTTAGTATTTTAACAGTTTCGAGCTTTTTACAATTAAGACAGTGTGAAAATCTGATATGACAAAGCTGATTAATCAGCGAAATTGTGCTAAACAGAACATCCTATAGCTTGTGTACTGAAAAAACAGCAACAATGGCGCTCTTAGTGTGTTGCTGACAGTGCTGTGGCCTAGTCCGAGTGACTCGATGTTTCTCATCACTTGGTGATGAGTACAAGGACAACATGTGCCTTGTTCTCCTGGAGGCTGCAAGGAGTAACCAGCAACGCACTGCACAGATGTTCAGTGTCCTGTGAACTGAGCAAAAGACAATACTGTGTCAGGTAGAGGTTAGTGATGTTCTGCCTTTTTTTTCCTGTTTTCCTCCTTTTTCATAAGCTGCACATATTTGAATAAACTGGACAGGGAGGAGGGGGAAGATCTTGACTTCTGGTACCTGCCTGCGAATGTATTGCAAAATTTCATGTTAACTTACTTGAAATCTGACTTCAGTTTTGACATAATTGTTGATAATTCAAGTGGAAATTGAAGGCTGTATTGAAAATAGTTACAAGAATTTCTTCTTGACATAAGGGTACCACTTACAGGAGTCTTTTTGAAATCAAACATCCAAATCGGGAAGGTTCAGGGCTGAACTACAATGCAAAAAAAAATAAACTAACTTAATGTACAGTTTCTTCAAGGTATTATTACTATTTAGTATTTGGAGAAAGGGATGAGAATGATATAACTGTATCTTTCCAAGATGACCAGTTTTACTCATCTTGTTGCATAAAATGGTTCTGGGGGAAGAGTTATTTTGGGTTGTTTTGTTTCCTGCTGTTAGATACAAGTAATTGATATTTAACAGTGATCAGAGAGTACTTCATATGAAAAAAGGAACACTTTTGGACTGAAAAGCCACTGATGTAATCTGAAACAGTATGTAAAGAACATCAACAAAAATGCAGCACAATAAAGGGTTGAAGTACCTTATAACCCATCATTTATTGGTGATAGCTACAGTGTCTTTATTCGTAAGCTTATTGAATTACAGTTTGGAGCTAATTAGGTTTTATGTCTTCACTGTCTTACTAGAAGGGTGTTCTTGAAGGCTCCGTTCTTTGACATAAAACTAATTTTCAGCCTTCACTTACTCATCGCCACTTCTATACTCTATATATGGTTAGAGAGCAGCCATTTTTCCTTAGGGTATCTAGTTTGTCCAATAATTCAACCTTTCCCACTGTTTCCTTAAGACAGACTACTTTTTTTCTCCCCATCGTAACTGACGTATGTTTCACCTTGAGTTTGGATTTTCTGGAACAGAGGTAACCTGATTTGTACGTAGTGTTCCTGGTAGTATTGCAGTAATGCAATTACACTGCTGTGGATGGTGATGTGGGCTGAAGTGCTGTCTGTACTTTTGAGTAGATTTTCTGGGTTTTGTTTCATTTAGCTGCAGTTTTAAGTTCTCTGTTTGAAGTTACTGTGTTGTTTTACACTGTTCCTGGTAGACTTTTGTCAACAGTTAACCAAAGAACATTCTTCTGCAAAGTGCTCAGTCCTTTGATGAGACTTGAGTCTGTTTTCCTTACAACAGGAAAGCCTTTCCTACCCAAAGCTTCATACACTAGTGCAGCTGACGTGGAGACACTGGATCTACTGACTGAATTTTGCACACAGAATAGATCCATAGGTCTTGCCTGAGGTGTTTAATTCAAGGAAATCAGTTTAACCTTTTCTAAATCTTTCACTTACCAGAAACAACTGCATATGGCTAAGATGTTAGATGCTATTTTTCTAATTCAGGGCAGAACAAAAGCTTTTTCAGGACTCCTCAATATTTTCACATTTACAATGGCATTTTTAAACGGAGATACCAGTCTCCTGGAAGGCTATTGCTCCTTTATAAAGGAGTACTATAACCTTACAATTAGAAAGCCTCCACTTTCTGTAAGGAGCTGCTCAATTAAATAGAACTCATACCAAAAAATAGTGGCTCCTGTACATACTATTTCAGAAACTGATGTTTTCAGGGCCAACATTTCAAGGTTGGTTTGCACTTTCGTTCTCATCTCAGATGAGGCCTTCAAAAGTGATGCTGCGTTTGGCAGAGCAGTACCTGGCTCAGGTACTTACTCATTGTGAGTGTTGAAACAGTTACTAGTCTTCCTTCTTTACCTACTCACTTGCAGCTCTTTTGAGACATGTATTTGCAATCCTTTGGATTTCTGTCTATCAGAATCTTCTTCTACACATTATTAGGAGTTCAGGCCCATCACACAGGAGGAGTAATGTATTCCTTTCACTACTGAATCTCTTAATTTCACACAGAGATTGCCTATAGACATGCCCATTACAAATGATTTTAAGGTAATAGAAACTTTGTCTGCTACCTGAGTATATATGTAGACTGCTCACTGCCCAGATCTCCCCTCGGTTGTTCTTTTTTAATGTGTGTGGTTTTTTAAACACACATTTTATCAGAAACATCTAAAAGCACAGAATGCAGTACTTACCAGCTTACTATCTGTACTGTCTGCAGAACATGCCATAGGTTGCTCATTATGCTAACTCTTGTGGACATGGTAGTTCATTAAAAAGTCCACAAATCACCAAATTCAGAGTTCGGTTGTCTAAGACCTTTTCTCTGGAACTGGTCTAGTTTAGTTATAAGGCTGCCTCACTTCCTCTGGTGATGGGGATTTCAAATACAGCGCTAAGGATACTGAAAAACTGTATGAGAACCAGGTTTACCAATTTTGGTATCTAGGTTTTCAGCAAAATCCCATTTCTTTTGAAACTCCTGTAGTAAGAGTACTAGCTACGCAATAGTACAGTCTTGTCAGGTGGTCTGATGGCACAAAAGATGGGACAAAGTAAGTCAGCATCCATATAGATAATTAAATCATTTGCTATTTGATATTTCTTTGGGATTAGAGTTTTGAATTGAGGAACATTTGATCAAGAGGTTTCTGAGATTCTGATTTATGGGAGTGTTTATTGAGAAGAGTACAGATCCTGCCAGCATAATTCTTTGTGCAACTGGGGCTGAAAGTTGACCTCCATCATTTGATATTTATCAGAGTGAGTGAATACCTTCTGGCTGCCCATAGGGGAAATTAATGTTGAAAATCTTGTTAAAAAAGAGTTAGGCCTCTCTGAGACCAGAGCATTTAGCAGGGAATGAATGTGGAAAAAATAGCTCATGGTTATGTGCTGTAGCTTTAGAGACTGGTACTGTGAGCAATGAAAGCTTGACCACAACCATCGACAGTCTGGAATAGGTGATTGCTATGCCTGTTTCTGTTGCTTCTGTGAGATTTTTCTTTTAACCTTTGAGGTGCAGATTGCTAGTTTAAACAGTTATTTTACAGTGCTATTTTCTGACTCAAGAAGAATGCAATTATGAAAGATTGTTCTTTCTGAGCACATTGTCATTTGAGTACTGCTCTCTTGTGCATGAGACACTGAAGGACAAGAATTTCCATGTATGGGAAACATGGAAATTTTAAAAAAAAAAACAAAAACAAAAAAACCCCCAACAACAAACAAAAACCACAAAAACAAACAAAAAAACCCCCAACAAACCACAAACCCGTATGCTCATTGTGCTGCTGTTCCTCTGCATACTGTAGATAGGGTGGTCCTGTGGACCAATGCCACCCAGCTGGCTAGCACCGTTGCCAGCTAATCTGATTTGTGGCTCTAATAATCATAGCTATCAGGCTTCTGTGGTAGGTCATATGGCAGTAGGGAATGTAAATTACCTCAGTAATCTATATGTAAATGTTGGTCATTAAATGGTTCCCGGAACAAATGTCCGGTAATTTGTTGGTGTAAATGCTTTAAAGTTAGTTAGTTAAAATATTACTAAGAAGGTCTAGAACTTGTTATTCAAAACCACCACCATTACCTGTACAGTGCATACTGTAGAATATCAAAGTCAGAAAAGTATCTACAGAGTTTTTGAGAGGCAGAGGACTTGCTTCCTAAACAGGCCTCCTTTGAAGACATTATTAATGATGCATTTTTGACTCCTAGCCACTTTTAAAGTATTTGTCCTTTGTGTGCGTGCATGCATTGCTAGCGTATTTCCACCCTGCATTGAGAAATAAAATACTGCAAGGTAGGGAACAGTCATTTTCCTCAATAGACATATTAATGCCTTATTGTTCCTTAAATGGCATAAATACGGGAAGAGAAGAATATGTTGGTAACAGTAAGTTACAATAGAGTTTTAATTTCATTTCCCATTGTAGAGATTGTACTTGTGATTGGTGTCCTCAGTTTGCAGACAATAAGGAAATAATAAGCAATCTTCCATTTTCTTTTTGTGTAGAACTGTGTTTAGGGGGTTGGATTTGGAAATGGAGTTTCTCCTTAGGAGTCTTTGACTTGTCCTGTCAAAGCAAGTTCATTTTAGGCATGTAATTTTCTGTTCATCCAAAACACAGGTCCTTTATCAGTTACATCAGTAATAATATTTACTTGAAAGTAGAAGTTTAGACCTGATTTAGAATTCAGAAAGTGATGGCTTGCTTTTTATTTCTATCATGTTCCTCATGAATATTCTTCAAGTATAATCTCCAGCAAAAAGTTTTTGGAAAGGCACAGGCATGGTTTTTTGCAGGAACTCCATGGAGAGCCTTTTTATGCCTTGTAGATTTGCTTCCCTAGCGCAGAGAATACCAGCCTTGAAAAAGGACCTGACTTTTATAAGCACGTACCATACGTAGAAGTTTATAAATGATGTAGCCAGTGCTGATGTGGAACAGTCCACAGGTGTGCAATAATAAACTGTTATGTTCCTTGAGAGCTGAGTTTTAGCTACATGGTGAAAGGATACAAAATTTTAAAGAGTAAGAATACGTGATAGTATTAGATGATATGTATGTTTCTGAATGTGATCCAGTTAAAAGCTTTAGGAACCTTAAAAACAATCAAATGAAAAGCACTGTAAGTCAATGAACATAGAATTTGTAATGAAAAATCTAATTACCTCCTACAAAATATGCATCGTTATTGCTACCACTGACTTGTTAAAAGCAATTATAAATTCATTTTCTGAAATGAGAAGATTTAATGCATGAACAGAATGTACACAGCTGCTATACTGAGCTGCAGTTGTTTGAAATTTTTTTAATCAAAACCATTTTCCGCTAATTGGAAAAGAGCTCGTAAAGTCTGCATTCCATTTTTTTGTGCTTTAGCTGTAAAATTTTGAGGAAAAGCAGAATAACTGTATTTATGTACAGTAGTCATTTTTTAAAGTATCACTTGCTTTAAACAAGTGTGTACAGTGACATGGAAATATACTTGTGTATTAAAATACATATATTATTTTCAATTGAAATGTAAATATTGCTGTGTGGTTTGGTAATAATTGTGAAAATCTATTGCCAAAACTCCTATGTGGCTAAAAGACAAGTTTTGAAATTGGCAGTAACTGTCCAAATCTGTTACCAGGGCATAGAGGCTGCATTTTATGCCATGGGGCAGACAGAAAGAATAAAGTGATGGGATCTATAGTCTCTGAATCCTTGCAGGGAGCAGAAAGATGAAGGTGCAATGTATATGTTACAGCTGTTCTAAAAAATGCTTTCAAGAGTCATGTGTCTTGAACAACTCCTAATTATTAGGGAATCCTCAAATATGAATGCTTTTGTTGATCACTTGGTTTTAACAAAAGCAGCGTTCTCCTTGCTGTAGGCCTCGTGAAGCTACCTTGAGAAAGCTTCCTTTTGTCTGTGTTGTGCCCAGGTGGCCAAGAAGGCCAATGGCATCCTGGCTCATATCAGAAATACCATGGCCAGCAAGACTAGGGGAGGGATCATCCCCCTCTACTTGGCACTGATGAGGCCACACCTTGAGTACAGTGTTCAGTTTTGGGGCCCTCACTACAAGAAGGACATTGAGGTGCTGTAGGGCATCCAAAGAGGGCAGTGAAGCTGGTGAAGGGTCTAGAGCACAAGTCACATGAGGAGCGGCTGAGGGAACTGGAGTTGTTTAACCTGGAGAAGAGGAGGCTGAGGGAAGACCTTATCGCTCTCTACAACTACCTGAAAAGAGGTTGTAGTGGGGAGGAGAACAGAAAAACAACGGCAAAGCCTCGAGGGTTGGGATAAGGGCAGTTTACTGGGACAGCAAGGGAGAGGGAAAACAATCAACAACAGTGCTGATAACAGATAGTAACAATGGGTGATAACAGAGAATGATTTACCGACCCTACAACTGACCAACCGGATGCTCAACCCTTCCCGGAGTCACACCAAGCCCGCGCCTGCCCGACTAGCCCCCTTTTATGGTAAGCATGATGTCACATGGTATGGAATAGCCCCTGGCCAGCTTGGCTCACCTGTCCTGGCTCCTTGTGACATTAACTCTATCCTTGCCAGAACCAGGACAGTGAGGTAGGTGTTGGTCTCTTCTCCCAAGTAACAAGTGATAAAACAAGAGGAAATGGCCTTAAATTGCACCGGGGAGGTTTAGATTGGATATTAGGAAAAATTTCTTCACTGAAAGGTTGTCAAGCATTGGAACAGGCTGGCCAGGGGAGTGGG